CACACACACACACACACACACACACACTGTATTGGTCTGTTTCTGTCCCGTGTGCCTTTAACTTTCAGTGCCTACTGTCTCTCCAACTTGTGTGTGCGTGTCTCACTGCCTCATCCTCACGGAGTCAGGCTGGCAGGTGGTTGCCCACACCCAGTGAGCACCTGGCCCTCACACTCCTGCTGGGAAACACACTGCTAGCTCTCTCCTCCATCATTCTCAGGCTCTGTGCAGACACCGTCTCACACACAGACCAGACGCCCCACACCCTCACCTGAGCATGGGGAGGGGACTCTGGTTATTTCTAGGCGGGACATCTGCTTGTCTGTGAGCTCTATACTCATGTACTGAAGTGGGATCTCCCTAGCAGAAATCCTGGGGGGTCTCAATGGGTAAAACCAGAGGAGAGTCAGTACTCCCCCACCGTAACTGCCATGAGCATGGGGGGTTTTCGGGAGATGTCATTTTCTAGGTTTCATCGGTAGTGTGAAGGGGGCTAAGGGAGGCAAAAGACGGAGCCATGTGGAAATGAAAATCCCTCCAAACTCCGGTCCCTGAATCACCAAGCCTGGAAGCCAGCGAGCTGTCATTCCTGCTGGGCCTGGCTGGGCTCAGGGAGAGCTGTGTGAGGACCGGGCTGCTGGCATGCAGCCTGGAGCATGGGGCCATGACCTCACACTTAATTCAGTCCGAGTGGGCAGGTCACCCCATGCGTCTCTTCTTTATTTTTGAAGATCTATATTTACCAGGCTTGGTGCTGGGCCGTGTCAAAATCTCAGCAGCCTCTGTTTACTTTAAAAAGTTTTCTTTCTAAACTTGGACAAACATAGAACCTGTACTCCCTCCCTCCCTTCTCCAGCTCCTGTCTCCTTGACACGTGCCCAGGATCCCCTGGGTTTCTAGGTGTGTGTGTTTTGCTGGCTGTGTTCAGAGAGCTTGGCGAGGAGGGCCCTACCCCAGGCTGGGCTGGTGACTTCAGCACACTGAGGGAGTCTGGGCAGATCCCGCCATCCCTCTCCTTGCCCTGGGGGCTTTCGGGGAATTTCAACCCTTTCCTTGGCAATGCCCAAAGTTGGAAGGCTCGTGGCTGGAGTGACAGACAGGACTCTGGCATCATTTCTTTTCTTCTGTTAAGTTTAACAGGGCCTTGGGGACTACAGAAAGCAAGTTATGTGCACAGAGTACTTGAACACCGTTCATCTAAGTACAGAGATCCAGAGGCTCAGGAAGCACTGGATGGCTATCGGATGAACTTGGGCTAAGAGGTCCCTCCGAGGTGATGCTGAGGGTTGCAGAGCTCTCTCCGCCCGTGGGATTGCCGGTCTCCCCTTACCTTTGCACAGACTACATTGATGTAACTCCTTGTTTACTTCCAGCAGAGCTGCGCCTCTCCGGAAAGCTCAGTGACTATGTTGTGACAGTGCCATGCAGCACAGACTTTCGGGGACGCTTCCTCTCCCACGTGCTGTCTGGGCCAGCAGCAGCCTCCTCAGGGAGTGCGATAGTGGATGAGCCACCCGCACCACGGTCACGCTCAGGTCACCTCCGGGTGGCCCGCAGCCCCCTGCGCCGCAAAGGAGCCACCCTGCAGCCTGGCCGGGTGGGGCGCTCCTCCCTCTACTTCAATGTTACTGTTTTCGGGGAGGAACTGCATTTGCGCCTACGGCCCAACCGACGGCTGGTGGTGCCCGGAGCCTCCGTGGAGTGGCAGGAGGATTTTCGGGAGCTGTTCCGACAGCCCTTGCGGCGGGAGTGTGTCTACACCGGGGACGTCACGGGCATGCCAGGGGCAGCTGTCGCCATCAGCAACTGCGACGGATTGGTAAGGGACAAGCCTGGCTACCCGAGCCAGGCTGGCGTGGTTTTCTCCTTGGCTCCCTGTGTTTGGGACTCCTGGGGGCACAATGTGTGGTTTGGGCCAGTCACAGGCCTCACTGCCTCCGGAGAGCTCTGCATGCCCCACTGGCCACCAGGTTCACGCTCTGGCAGGTGCAGAAGATCTGGTTAGGATGATGCCTTGTCCATTCCCCCACCGGATGCGCTGGGACCACGGCTTAAGCTAGCAGGATTCCCTGAGCCCAGACACATGCAGCGGTAAGGAAGGCGGGCTCTGCTGGGGCTGAATCCTGGCTGGGCCACCCAGTAGCCCTGAGGCTTTGGAGATGTTAATTACTCTGCGCTGCCTTCCCTCCTGTGTGAAGCAAGGATTTATGCATAATGCACACATTTACTGTGTGCGTCCTATGTGGCCAGCCCTGTTCAGGCTCTGGGGGATGCCACAGACATGGTCCACGCCCTCCCGGGGCTGAGTGGTAGTGACGATAATAGGACCTACCTTACCAGGCAATGTGGTGGGTGGTCAGCACCTGCCTGGCATGGGGTCAAGGCTCTGTTGGTGTTAGCTGCCGTTATTTTTGTTATTGTTACGTCCTTCCTCATCCCCCACTGTCTTTGGTCTTAAAGTCAGCCTGCTCTTTCCCAGTGCTCCGCTCTGTGAGTGCTCCCCTTTTTTAAAAAAAACAGATTTCTTGGGGTGCCTGGGTGGCTATGTGGTGACAGTGCCACACAGCACAGATTTTCGGGGACGCCTCCTCTCCCGCGGTTGAGCGTCTGACTTCGGTTCAGGTCATGATCTCACGGCCCGTGAGTTCGGGCCCCGCGTCGGGCTCTGTGCTGACAGCTCGGAGCCTGGAGCCCGCCTCAGAGTCTGTGTCTCCCTCTCTGTCTGCCCCTAACCCACTCGCACTCTGTCTCTGTCTCTCTCAAAAATAAATAAACATTAAAAAAAAAAATTAAAAAAAAAACAGATTTCTTTTTTATTTTTAAAAAAAAAATTTTTTTTTCAACGTTTACTTATTTTTGGGACAGAGAGAGACAGAGCATGAACGGGGGAGGGGCAGAGAGAGAGGGAGACATAGAATCGGAAACAGGCTCCAGGCTCTGAGCCATCAGCCCAGAGCCTGACGCGGGGCTCGAACTCACGGACCGCGAGATCGTGACCTGGCTGAAGTCGGACGCTTAACCGACTGCGCCACCCAGGCGCCCCCAGATTTCTTTTTTAAAGTTCATTTATTTTGAGAGAGAGAGGGAGGGAGAGCACACACGTGCGTGTGCGGATGAGGGGCAGGGAGAGAGGGCAAGAGAGAGAATCCCAAGCAGGCTCTGCACTGTCCGTGTGGAGCCCAACGCGGGGCTCGAATCGACGAACTGTGAGATCATGACCTGAGCCGAAATCAAGAGTCAGATACTTAACTCACTGAGCCACTCAGGAGCTCAGTGAGTTCCTTTTTTTTTTTTTTTTTAAATATATTTTTTTAATGTTTATTTATTTTTGAGACAGAGAGAGACAGAGCATGAATGCGGGGGAGGGGCAGAGAGAGAGGGAGACACAGAATCGGAAGCAGGCTCCAGGCTCTGAGCCATCAGCCCAGAGCCCGATGCGGGGCTCAAACTCACGGACCGCGAGATCATGACCTGAGCTGAAGTCGGACGCTCAACCGACTGAGCCACCCAGGCGCCCCTCTCAGTGAATTCCTTTTCTTAGGACCCGTTCCATCCACCCAAGCTCAGAACGCCTGCTAGTTGTCTCTGTACTGCAAACCCCAAAGCTGTGGGTGGCCCTCTCGGAGCCTTGACTCGTGCTGGAGTTCGGCTCCATCCCCGGTGTCTCAGGCGCTTGGGAGCCCGTGTGGCAGTCCCAGGCTTTACTTTGTCATGCTTTGTCAGGTATGAGCTGACGCGTCTCAGGAAAGGACCCCCGTGCTCCTCTGCCCTTCCGCTTTAAGTGAGGGATGCGTCAGATCAGGAGGATGCTAAGGGGGAATCTTTCTTCACTAGTGGGGCTGGGAGCATTTCTCCCCGTGTCCCCGTCCTTGCACGGTGTCTTCCTGCTGATTGTCACACTGCCTTGATGTGGGCCAGGGCTTCTTGTTCTTTTTTTCATCATCACCCCCCTAAGGGGTGACTGATGTTTGCAGTCGCCCGGGGATGCGGTGTCTGTGCAGAGGGCGAGACAGAAAGTGCTGGTGCAAACCGGTGGCTTGACCAAATCGCACCGTGAACTCCCTCTCCGGTCCGCAGCCACAGAGGCTGTTGGCTCTTCAGTGACAGGGCTGCGGCCACCGCCTCTTCCGCTGCCCCCACGAAAGTATGTTGGGGCCTCAAAGCTGTCAGTGGACGATCAACAGCATTACTACCTGTGGTATGACTACCACTGCTTTGGCTTGCCCCCAGGCCACTGCTGCTGCCTTCGGCTGTCTCTGGAGCCAGTCCCTAGCCACAGCCCAGTGCAGAAGCCTCCCCGGGGCAAGGATTTCAGAATTTCCAGCCCATTCCGGAAAACTGCCCCGTGTCCCATGAGAGCAAGGGGCTGTTCACGGTGACCCAGCTGAGCCCCCTTTAGACCCAAAGGCCACAGTGCAACCTTTCTTTCTTTCTTTCTTTCTTTCTTTCTTTCTTTCTTTCTTTAAATTTTTTAATGTTTATTTATTTCTGAGACAGAGCATGAGCAGGGGAGGGGCAGAGAGAGAGGGAGACACAGGATCCGAAGCAGGCTCCGGGCTCTGAGCTTTCAGCACAGAGCCCGAGGCGAGGCTCGAACTCGCAAACCGCGACATCATGACCTGAGCCGAAGTCCGTCGCTCGACGGACGGAGCCACCCAGGCGCCCCTACGGTGTAACATTTCTGATCAGATTTGAGTCTGTATCTGTGTGTGGTCTTTGGATTTTAACCCCATCTTCTTTAGCACCTCAAGTCCCAAAAGGCCTTCTTTCTAAAAAAATACGTACTGACCACTGGCCGTGGGTGAGGTCCTCAGGGAGACGTAAGAAAATGAAAGTGACCCGAGGAATATAGCAGCAACAGCCCCGGCCTGCACACGGGGATGTGCACTCATTATTTTCACCCGCTGTATAGACGGGGAGACTGAGCCGTGGGGGGAAGATCTGAGGATAGGCAGAGAGCTTGTTTGCCCAGCGCCGTATAGTTTGTAAAGCCCGCCGGTCGTACGCGGTGTGTATGCAGATGTTATTACCCTGCTTCGCAGAGAGCCCCGTCCCTGCCCTCAAGGAACTTGGGTGCCAAGCAGGAGAAACACCTCTGGTAGTTTCTGCGTTAACTTGTTGGCATTCCAGAGCACGATGGAGATGGTGCTCAGGAGACGGGAGCGATTGTTGTCTTTGATGCCCCGGGAACGTCACGTTTGAACTGGGCCTTGAAGGGTGGGTAGAAGTTGCTGAGGCCAGAGGGCGAGGAGGGCATTCTGGGCAGAAGCTCTTCCTTCTTCAAGCCAGTGAGGGTACATCCCCATGCTGGATGGAACCGGGGAGGGGATCCCAGAAGGCGCACTGGGAAGGTGGGCCTTGGCCTGACCTTGAGGGGAGGGCAGGATAGGAGAGGGGTCCTCGAGTAGGGATGGGACAGCCTGTTAACTGCAAAGAGTCTGAGCTGGGAGTTGGAGACGTGGCTGTGTGACCCTGGGCATGCTGCTCTCCTTCTCTGGGCTCCATTTGCCTGTTAGGTACACCTCAGAGGATGGGATAGAGGGGCTCAGAGCCCCTTCCAGCTCTGGCATTGGTGCTTTGGGACGCGGGGCAGGCCAGCTGAAGGAATTTGAAGCCAGGCCTCTCTAAACCTATGGTTGAGGCCTCCTCGCCTGGCGGGTTCTAGGACATGCTCTGTGCCAGACCAGGCTTCATTGCAGGTACCAGGAGGAAAGACAGCCAGCCCTGAGTTTGGCCCTCATGGCCAAGCCAACCTTCCAACTGTGAGAAGGGCTTGAACAAAGACACTTTGTGTGGATAGACTGCAGCCATTTGGATCTTAGCTGCGCTGGGGGGAAGTGCCATGTCTAAACTGGTGGCTTGGTCCTCATTGCCAACTGGAACCCCCCCGGGGGTAGGGGGAGGGCAGCAAGTGTCACTGCCATCCCATAGAGCCACTCCCCCACGGACACCTGGGACAGACGCTGGGAGGGTGCTGTGCCCTGTGGTTAATTCATGCCAAAACTGACCTCGTTTCCCACCTGCTCTTCTGGAGGGTCTTGTGTGTCACAGTGCGGGGGAGAGGGTCAGGAAGGACCCAGGAATGAGGAAGCTGGGACCTCTGCCCTGGATGAGTTTGTAGGATAATGGGGACCCAGACATACGAGCAGACAAATCACGGTTTTGTGTGAGGCAGCAGCAGAAGGACCCACTTATTTTGGCCAGGGCATCTAGGAAGCCTCCCTGAAGGAGGTGGCATTGGCGCAAGACTGTTCAAACATTATAAATGTGGAAGGAAGTGCTGGGCCTCTGGCCAGCAGAGAGAATGACTGGCCCAGGGCAGGCTTGTGTGGGGGAAGGAAATAAGGGATGTGGGCGGCCCCTTCTACCTGCAAATTGTTTCCCCTGGGGCGGGGGGCGGGGGGGAGCCCCAGGATACCCAACTGGGAATGTGCCCAGGCAGGACCACTCTTCAGAGCCTGTCTCGGGGAGCCCAGCCAGTCAGTGCAGTGGTTCTCCCGACACTCCTGTGACCCCCAGCCTCTGAGGGCCTGTGGGCAGGGAGGACCCGGGTCACCTCAGGACCCCGGGCTGGGGGTCAAGTGCAGAGCAGGTCCCCTGTTAGCGATTATGGCTCTGAATTCCTGGGAGGAGCACAGAGGCCTGGGGCAGGGGCCAGTTCGTTGTGGGTCAGGAGGGATTGGGGGTGCAGGAATGGGGTCAGCGGAGTGGGGCCCCACGAACCATCTAGATCCCAGACTGCCCAAAAGGCTCCTTCCCCCACTGCCTTCTCTGCCTCCCTGTGTCCTGGGCCTCGCTGCCCCTGCACTGGGAGTGGTG